CTTTGTATTATCTGATAATGTTGATTATTCCTACTTCTATAAATTCTTCTTGTTTTTCTAGTTTTCTTCCAGCCTCTTAGGCTGCTCTTTCCCTTTTTTTTTTTTTAATGTTTACTTATTTGTTTATTTATTTATTTAGAGAGGGGGTGGTAGGAAGGGCAGAGAATCCTCAAGCAGACTCCCCACTGAGTGTGGAGCCTGACACGGGGCTCAATCCCAGTACCCTGAGATCATGACCTGAGGGTCCAATGCTTAACCGACTGAGCCACCCAGGTGCTCCTAGACTGTTCTTTTTCTAACTGCTCTGCAAACTCCTCTTTCTTTCCTTCTCCCTTACTGTGGGTAGCCACCAAAGTTCTGTATTTAACCCTTTGCTGTTCTTTCTTTCACTTGTCTTTCACAATCATTTATTCATATCCTCCAAGCTTCAGCTAACAGCTCTGTACTACTCTGTACTACCATCTTCTATTCCTTCTACTTTCTTGAACACTGATTTGAATATAAATCCTTTATATCTATTTCCTAACTACCTACTGTCTGAAACTGATCTCATACTCTACAGATTAGTCCCATGCACCAGTCCATTTCTGTCAATGTTACTAGTATGTGTTTAATTTGTAACACCCCCCCCAAAAAAACTTTATGTTGAAGCCCTCATTATGTGACCTTATTTGGAAATAGGTTCTTTACAGAGGTAATCAAATTAAAATGAGGTCATTCAGGTGGGCTTATGGACTTAATACAACTAGTATACTTACAGAAAGGAGAAATTTGGACACAGAGACATGCAAACAGGGAGAATGTCATGTAAACATGAACGCAGAGACTGGGGTGATGCATCTACAGGCCAACAAGTGTCGAAGATTGCCAACAAACCATGAGAAGCTAGGAGAGAGGCATGGAACAGATTCTCCCTCACAGCCCTCAAGAGGAATGCACCCTGATGACACCTTAATCTCAGAGTTCTGGCTTCCAGAACTGTGAGGCAATAAACTTCTGTTTAAGCTGCTCAGTCCATGGTACTTTGTTGCAGTAGCCCTAGAGAACTAATATGACCACTGACCCTCCAATCTCCCAGACTAGAAAACCTAGCCTCATCTCAGGTTCTTGCTTTTTCTTCATCATCTATATCCAATCTGGCGCCAAAGACTGTAGTTATTCTTCTGAAGTGACTCCTAGCATCTTTAATCTCATATTTTCTGTTACATCCTTTTATTTTACTATTTTATCTCAGTTCCTGTTACCTTCACTCTAGTCCTGGGCTTCATCATTTTATATCTAAATTCCTATAAAAGTCTCTGGCAGGTCTCTCTTTCTCCAAAATTTATTTCCTAAAATATATAATTCATGTTGCTTTTATCATACTAGTGCCATGACTGAGACATGCTTATAGTGCCATGTTGTCTATTATGGTAAATGTAACCTTGGCATTCATGGTTCCCCATAATCTGGATCCATCTTGTCCACTCAATCTTTTATCCCCCTATACCCAGCATCTTTATTTCTCTCTCTGAGCCCTGTTCCTTCTCCTCTCCTGCCTCCACATCAAGATACTTTCTTACTCTCCTCATCCAAACCTTCATCTTTTTTTAAAAATTTTATTTTACGGGGCACCTGGGTGGCTCAGTCGGTTAAGCGGCTGCCTTTGGCTCAGGTCATGATCCCAGGGTTCTGGGATCGAGTCCTGCATCAGGCTTCTTGCTCAGCAGAGAGCCTGCTTCTCCCTCTCGCTCTGCCTGCCTGCCGCTCCCCCGCTTGTGCTCTCTCTATCTCCCTCTCTCTGTGTCAAATAAATAAAATCTTTAAAAAAATTTTATTTTACTTTATTATGTTATGTTAATCACCATACAACCTGTTCATCTTTCAAGATCCTAGTCAGCTTTCACTGAATGCAACTACTCTGGCCACACTAATATCTCTTGGCCTTGCTGCATTCTAATCAGTACCTTACAGGTTAGAACCAAGTGGTATTTCTTATATTTATGTAAATTTACACATATTGCACCTCTATTTCCATAAGCTGATGGGATGCAGTCCTTGTTAATTAATTGATCAAACTTTTAAAGAGGGAATAATGACAGGTGTGGGGAGGGACGGAAGGATATTGGAAACCAAGAGAAGTGAAAACTTTGGCTAGAACAATGAAGGAGAATGAGTCTCAGTCAATGTTTTCCAAATGTGCTCCCTGGACACAGGGATGCCTGATAAAAAAATGCAAATTCCTGAGCTTCATTACAGACCTACTTAATCAAACCCTGCAGCCCAGAAATCTAATTTTTTAAAGGTAACCCAGTGATGCTTATAGATACCAAATCTCAGAACCACTAATCTAAGTGGAGAAGGCAGACAATAGATGCAGAAAAGGAACACCCATTCTTAGGTTTACTGGGCACATGTACTTCCCATCATGGCTAACAATAGAATGAAAATAGTTTTATACTATCATGATTTGCTTTGATGTGATGTCCCCTCTTCAACACATTGCTTTGAGCACAGCAGTCCTTTCTTCCACGGCAAGAAGGTTTCCAGTACTGCATCACAAATATGGGCTGGGTAATACAGAGTCCCCAGAAGAACAGAAATTTTGTGGTACTCCAAGGAAAGGTAACTGAGACTGCTAGGCTAGCTGTGACTCTTACTTTCTTTGGGAAGTAGAATTTAACCAGACACATGCTCTAGGCTCTGGAATTCAAGTTTGGTAGCATGGAGAGAGAAAAAAACAACTCTGAGATCTAGTGCTTAAGCTTTTAATTGGAACCACATGAAACTAAAACATGTAGCTGATTTAGATAAAACCTGAGGACCCGTTTACTGGCTCACACTGAGCAGGATTTCTGCAGTTGACTACTACAGAAGCAAGATAACAAAATTAGATACGATCGAGGGGAAGAAAAATGCACAAAAGTCCTTGAATTAAAATGAATTGAAACCTTCTGGGAGAAAAGCTATTTGGTAAGCTCCATTAAGTCTATTGTAGATAGCTTTATTTGACAAAGCAGCATCCTGGCATGTGGAACAGGAAAGAAAATAGCTATAAGATGATCTGTCAGGGAGTTTCCAGTCTCTAAACGAATAAGAGTCTGTGCAGTAGCCAATACAGCTTTTAACTCAAAAGAGATACAGAAGCAAAATGCAATTATATAACACTAGTAAGAGCATTTAATCTGAATCTCCCATACACCGCCCCCCCCCCCGCCGAATAACTCCTCAAATTCAGCAATTTATCAAGCAAATACTCAAACTGATGGTCACGTTAATTTCAGGGGAACACTGGATTAACTCTGTATACAATACTGCAGATACTGAGATGGAGACAGTTCTATAAGTCAAAGATTAGTTAGCTATAAAACATCTTGGCTAAGCACTTAATTAATTTGAATAACTCAATTATGAAACTCTTGTTTTTTTAGCTATAAGTTTATAGTACGCATTTGCAGTAATTAGTTCACTGTTCTGAAAATGCAAACTACTGATTACAAAGGATTTATTCAATATATATGGAGGTTTAGATGTTTAGGGATCTAACATATGGCAGAAATAGAGGAAATTCAGATGTAACAGATACAAATGCCTTTTTAAAAGTCTGAGTTGATAGTTTTCTTTCCTTAAGAGTTTCTGTTCATGGAGTGAAGATTCTAGGACCACTCAAGTGGCTATAAAGCTGCTGACTTCAGTATGCAAGTACTGAAACCAAGAAATTCTGATTTGCATTATAATCAACCGGTTCTCTGTCGGTCTCTGTCTCCATCTCTGTCTCTATCTCTGTCTCTGTCTCTGTCTCTCTCTCTCACACACACACACACACACACACACACACAGCAGGGACAGTTTACTACAATATCTCTAATGTCTAGCACAGTGCTTGGCATGCAGTAGTTATTAAATGAATGAATTTGTTTAGCCATCCCAACATTCCTGTTAGATGGTTGTATAATGTACTTTTTACAAGGGTGGATCCTGAGCTCAGTGGGACAGAAGTCCTTCCTGAGTCAAGAAGAACACAGTTGGGACTAGAACTCAGGTCCTCTAACTTTAGGTCCAGTGCTTTGTCCACTGTACCTTACTGACTCCTAAGACTGTCTAGAATGGCTTACCTGAAAACACTGGTCTTTTGGCTGATATTTTTATCTCCCTTCTGGTAATTCTCTCCCTGGTTTGTTACGAAATTGAAAGGTGGTATAGTGTCATATTGTTCAACAGGTTTGCCTTATGAGTTCCACTGGGGACCCACATGTGGCCTGTCTCATGGTGAGGTCCTGACTATGCTAAGAGCAAAAGCTTTTACCCAAACATCTGTCTGTGGACTCCTGTTTGGTTCCCAATAAACCCCTAAGTAACCACAATAAAAGTCAGCAGGTAGGTAGACTGTCATATATTATAGATATTTCCCCTTAGTTGGTAGAGTCTCTTTTAATTTTGTGATTTTTTAAAGAAAAATATTTAATTTATAGGAAGATAAATTTATCGAAAGTATCTTTTATAATTTTATCTTTGGAGAACTTCATCCCAAATTATATAAACAACTCCTATATTTTCCAGAATTTCTTTCGCTATGTTTATTTTTTTTACATTTGAATCTTAAATCCATCTGTTACTAATTCTGGTATAAGGTATACAGGATGTAGGGATCTAACTACTTTTTAAAATGTTTGGCTAGTTGTCTATTTATGTGTAAGCTCTCTTATGATTCCTACTATAGAACATACTATTAACAAATCCAAATCAAGTATAGAACAGTGCTGCCTAAATGTCTAGCCCTCCTAAGAGAAGAAAGGCCACTTTTAATTCGGCACTGTAATGGAAGATGGGAATGAATAAAAAGATCCTTAGCCGCAGGGTTGATATTTAGCCACTGTGTACTTATATGGCTTTACCAATTGTTTCTAGCTGGTTCCAGACTTATAGTTTTGTGCCCATAACTTACTGGATGTTAGAAGTTTTAAAATATAATCCCTGCAAGTAGATGTTAGTTAAATGAAACAAAACAGAATTATCTTTACCTGATTCCTCAGTTTCTTTCGTTTCTGTGGTTTCTTCTATTTCGTCATCAGACATCTCCATTTCTTCTTCTCGCCTGATTCCCATTAATTCATCATTATGTATGTTGCGAATTTCCTAAGGTTAAAAGTTATGCTTTGTTGGTGGGAAAGCTTTGAAAATGTTGAAGAAATGAACAGAGTTAAGGATAAGATAAAGCAGCGTTTTTTGACATATGAAAAAACTTCAGAGTACTCTTAAGGCAAGGACAAGGGGGCACATTGGGGCTGAAACTGTCTTGACAGACAAAGCAGACTTAGTTACATTCTGTCTTCCATAAGGCATTCATTCCATATCCAGAGCTCTGGCAGTTGATGATTCTTATATCCATCCTGTATTAGAAAGTACTGTTGGTCATGAAAGGCCTCTTACCTCTTACATGGATTTCTGGACTTTCCTTGAAGGGTTCTGCCATTTTCACCTTCCCATGTCAAATCCTTTAATTTTGCATCCCTGCATCCTCTTCCCTCTCCACTTACAGACTTACTCAACAGAACTCTTAATCTAACTTTTGCACGTTTAGAAGTTACAGCAAAAATGAGCTGTCAGGGGGAACTTCAATCAGATCAACCCTTCCATGGACAATAACTATACTCTGAACAAAACACAAAATCAAACCAAGCCAAACCCCTAACTACTTGATGGCACTGGAGAGCAAACAAATGCAGGCATATCCTAAAGAGTGGCTGACACTTGGAAGAAGGATGTGGGTCTCTCAGTTTTTAAGGGCCTTTTAGTCTGACAGCAGACCACAGTTAGCAGCTCACAGAGTAGCTACATTTTTAATAGAAAACCCTGTCTTTATATCCTAAAGAAATCAAGGAGATAGCCACAGGAAAGTGAGGAGGGGATCCCAGAAAGGAGACAGCCAAAGAGGGAGAGAGATCCAAATTCTGCCTGTAATATCTGCTCAAATTTCTGCATGACCCTTGAACGATGGAAGCACAGGACAGATTCCAAACAACACAGCTAAGTCTAAAAGAACTGAACTGAGATTTGGGCTGCCATCTAAGAGACATAATTTCCAGCTTAAATTCAATTAAGTAAATTGACTGTTAAAACAAAAGAAACTGAAGTCAACCTTCTTTGGAAGAACATAACAAAATGAACATAACAGAATATAACCAGAACCTTAAAAGCAAAATATTCAAAAAATGCAGGCAAAGCCCAAGTTACTTGACATACAAAGAACTAGGATGAGATGACCTGTCTTCAAAAGAAAAGATCATCAACAGAAATCAAACTTGAAATGAACCAGATATGGCAGTTAGCAGATAAGGAGTTAAAGCAGCTATTATAACTATCTCAATGATGGAAAGAAAACATGTTCATAATGAATGAAAGGACAGGAAATCTTGGCAGAGAAACAGAAACTTTAAAAAAGAACCAAATAGAAATTCTACTGAAAAATATAATATCCAAAATAAAATTAACTGGATGAGTCTAACTTTACAATAAAGATGGCAGAACAAAGAGAGAACTTAAAGAGAACAATACAAATTTATCCAATCTAAAGAACAGAGAGAACCTAACTGGAATCACAGAGAGGAGAGATTAAATGATTCAAGATTCTTGAAGAAAAAATAGTTGAAGATGTCTCAACTTTGATGAAAGACATTAATCTATATATTCCAAGAGCTCAGTAAACCCCAAGCAGGAGATGTGTGAAAAAGGTATGTCTAAGAACACCATAGTCAAATTGCTGAAACTAAAACATTAAGAGAAACTCTATAACTCTTTAGTTAGCTAAACTCATTGTGATAATCATTTCACAATCCATGTAGGTCAAATCATAATGCTGTGCATCTTAAACTTATACAGTACTGTATGTCAGTTCTACTCTCAGTAAAACTGGAAGAATAGAGAAACTCTTAAAAGCATCCAGAAAACAACAACAACACATTATATACAAAGAGACAATTCAAATACTTTGATTTCTTTCAGAAACAATATAGGCCTGAAGTCAGGGGAACAATATCTTTAAAGTACAGGAAGAAATAAAAATCACTGTTTATTCAGAATTCTATAAGCAGAGAAAAATTCTTTCAAGAATGAAGATGAATTAAATCTATTTTCAGATAAATGTAAAAATTTGTCATCCAAAGATTTGCACTATAAGAAATGTGGAAGAAGTTTCCTCAGGCTGGAGGGAAGTGCTACCAAGGTGTAAACACAGATCTTCACGTAGGCATGGAGAACTTTGGAAATGATGGAGATCACACTAGAAAAGTCACTTTAAAAAAAGTCAGCATGAAAACTGCATTTTGGAGCAGCTTGCAATCATTTAGAGGCCACTTAATGCCTATCAGAGGCTTCTCAGCTCTGAGCTGAGAATTCCTTGCTTACGTTAGCCCCAATTGGGCCATAATACAGGAAATATCCAAAGCTGTCTGGTGAAAATTGCTTCCATTTAGGGGCATTATAAATACTTCAAATGGATTTCTTAATAATTAATGCTATAGTTAATCACTATCTCAACAAATATTCTCATTTTTTATGCCTTTTACCGGGAAAAATAATAATTTCTATATCAAGATAAGTTTTCGCTACAGATAAATAAAAGTCCCTTTTAAAAACACAAGCTATTCAGTATTTTCACTGGTAGTTAAGAGGTAGTAGAAAAATAGAAGTACTAGAAAATAGAACTACCAACATAGCATCCCTCATGTGCTACAGGGGCATTACTTAAAATAGAAGAAAACAGTGACTTGCTTGAGAAAAATGAAATTTAAAGGGCTGTGTCAAAAGAGAGATTTGCTATGTCTTATTCAAACTCATTGCATAGAGAAGAAAGGAATTGCTCATTTCTAAGAATTCATTCTGTCTCAGGAGTCTGGGTTTCAGTTACCATCAAAGAACAGTTACTGGCAAGGTGATTATAATGAGGTTTGACACTGGCAAATTCGACTATTGTACAACTTGCGGCATCAGGAAAAGTTATGGCTCTCCTAGTTGCCTAACAAAAATGTAGCCTGTCGGAGGGTGTAAGCAGAGACCAACTTTCAATTCACAAACATGTCATCTGACTCTGGGAAAGTTACTGTGTTTCTCAGAAGAGTAAATTGTGTTCCTTCTAAGGAAATGTCCCAGGGCAGGAAGATCTAACCGAGAGCTAAGACATGCCCTGTAGCTGCTCAGCACCCACAAAACATCTTTCTGCTTCCAGCTGGGCAAGAAAGCATAATCTCTTCTGAGAAGTATAAAAAGTTCAATAACTAAGTGATACAGCTTATCTAGAGGTCTTTCACATCTTCAAAAAATCTCCAGAAATAGAAAGACCTATGGGTAAATTTTACCTCAATGCCTGAAAATACTTCAGGAACAAGAGTTACCAGTTCCTTTAGCTGATAATGAAATGAGGGTAAGAAAAACTAAGGGGACCCTTGTTCTCCATTGTTCAGTCAGGCATGCAAAGTGGCAGAGCTTAGAGCCTTCTAATCACTAGGCAATCCCCCTTAGCTACAAAGAAACTAAGCCCTGTATAGTTACTCTCCTATAAATATCCAATAGGAAGTCACATGAATGGGATAAAGGCAGAGAACATCAGAGGTTAGAGGGTACCATATTAAGGTAAACTCATGAGGAGCAGTTAGTAAATGACAGTGCCCCTAAGTAAAGCAAGTAAGTTTTTAATTCTATGAAAGCCTTACCTTTAAAGCACTTGGTATCTAAGGTACCGGTTTTCTGTCTTTCTGGTTGGGTCAAAAAAGCTCTGTTTTGGGAAGCAAACCCTAACAAGTACCTTCAGAGTGAAGGACTAAAAGGTAACATTTCCCTAAGGAAGGCACTCTACCTAGCTGGGGGATAGGTGCAGGTAGGAGGAGGACCCTGGGCCATTGAAGTGCGGGCAGCAAGGGAAGTCGCTGCCTCCCAGATTTGCCCCCTTTCCCATCCTGACATTTGGATCTAGAGCTAAAACCAAAAGAGTGGCAATGGCAGGCAAAAACATTTTCCAGAAGTTTTCATTTGTAAATCACTACCTGAAATTGAGTGGGCCGTGTCACTGAGAGACTATATTGAAAATGGAAAGATAGCACTCCTGAAGTTTCTATTCTATTCTCCTGCCCACAGTCAACCTGTGAGATTTTTCATTTAAACAGCAAACTGTTAGTGATTTCTAAAAATGCATTATAATGGCTTTGAGTCTGTTTTAATGGTAACTTTTTCTGACGCTCAGAACTTCACACACTGCTCCACAATGGAGAAGAGAGCACTTTTACATAGAATTAAACTGAAACCCGAGACAGAGGAAAATGCATGGACAGAATCACCTTTGTGCCAGCTGACATTTTTAATTTATCATAAAGTAAGCAAATCACAATCATTGCACATTAAGTATCTAACTCTATAGTTTCACAAAAAGTTATGTGAATTTAAATTCATCTTACTCATGTGTTATGATAGGAACATAGTTATCAGTACAGCAAAGTTCCTTATTAATTGTGTAACAAAACTGTACTTACCTAGACTTTCAACATTAACAGGATACTTGGTGAGGAAGGGGTCAGATGAAGGAATGGAAAGGAACAGATAGCTTCTACATTTATGTAGAAATTTGAATCTGAGCTATCATTCAGTACAATGAAGGAAAGCACAAACACAAGTTCTTAATGCCTATTGTATGATACATATGGAAATAAAAATTAGGTTGATCCAAATCGTGTTAATAGGTGTTCTGATGGCTGAAAGCTAATAGCTAGTGTTAGAACACATGGGTGCTAAAACAAGGGTATGCAGATGACTCGAACAATCTATCTGCAAACAGTTCTTCAGAGTTTGGAATGGTAGGCTTGGAAATCTAGAGAGAAAGTTATTTTAGCAATCTTAGTATCTCATTTTACAAGAATGCTAGCAATTGTCAAGTCCCTTTTCCTCTAGCCCAATGTTATAAAATCTCATACTGGGGAGGATGCAAGGGGGTCTCTTCTAGTTCCTACTGCTATGGCTCTAGTTTCTATATATCATCCAAGGTTTAGCTTCTAATCTAGGCCAGCTTCTCAGTGAGAGAAACACATAGGTTTTAAATGGTTCTATAGAAAAAGAGTTCCTACAATAGAGAGCTATTGGTAAAGTCACTGTAGAGTTTTTAGTAAAGAGAGAAACTTTAGCTTTCTCTTATTACCCTTTTCAATTGTATCAGCAGGAGCCTCACACACATATAAAACAGGAAAGTAAAGTAAACCAATGAAAGACTCATTAGCAAACTAGTATGCCCAGCATACGCTACCAAGGTGAGAGCCTGAGCTCCCTGAAGGTGGGGACTTTTCCTTCTTAATCCATAACCCCACTCTCAGCAGAGTACGGCACTGTTGGCTGCTGGTAGGATGACAATAAGACAAAGAGCAGGTACTTTGCGACACGAGGAGGTTACTGGCTAGGTCATTCTCAAAGGCAACTGGTAAAAAAGGCTCAAGTCAGAAACTTTCACCTTGATGAAACCTCTGACTTAGGAGTTGGAGCTTTGAACCACGGGCCAGAAAAAGCCAGTCTAGTTGATTTAAGTCACTGAGATGCTCTGGTTCTCACTGGGGTGCTCAGAGACAGCCCCAATTTAAGAGTATGCTTGTCACTTTCTAGAGTTCCCTATTATCAAGTTAAAGTATGCAGAGGTTAAAAAAAGCCATGATTTAAAGAGGTACCCATGTAAAGTACAAGAGGTCTTTTTTAGGTTTAGGAAATGCAATGCCAAAGGAAGGTCATGAGCTATGTTCCACTCTCAGCAGTTTTACTTATCAAGATTGAGGTATTCAAGGAAGCCCTTAATTCAGTCCAATCCAATAGGCAGGAAGCATTTTTCTGGGTTTCCACGAAGTCTACAAAATACATTATGAAACATGTAGCTCTTGGCAAGTCATGCTAGCCATGTCCTCTATCCTCATCACTCTGCCAAGGAAGCTCTGCTACAATATTAGGTGATAGGGTGGATAGCTCTCATTCTTTACAGGTCCAGAGAAATGTCCAGCTTACTGGCTATCTTTACTGAGAAGGTAATTAAACTCAAGTATGTACCCACCAGAGAGGTAGGCTTGATAGGACTATAGTTCTCTACAGAGAGCCTTGATAAATAATATTCATGGAAATATTTTATTGCAAAGTCATTTATAGAAGGGTTGTGGTCTGGGCAAGTCAGTCCTCAAATCAGAGGCTCCCTTCCTCCTATGAAAAGACATTATTGTACTGGCAGGGCTTTCCGCAATGGGTGGGGCAGTTCAGACAGCTTCTTCCAACCCTGAGAATGGATACACGTGTATGTGTACTGAAGAAAAGTAGAGACTTAATACTGCTTTTCTACAATTATAAGACATATTGAGCATTTTTCCTCAACCTTTATTCTTCTGAACTGTTCAGACTAAAGAGTTTGGAGATTTTCAATTTAGGGTATTAAACTCCACTCCCCACCCTTGATCACTTTCTTTACCTTTCTAGCTCCCTGAGGGCAAAGACCATCTTGTCCTGAATTGCCTGTCATAATGCCTGACACAGAGAATGTGCCTCAGTTAACGTTTGAATTGAAATGTTGAATTTTGTTTGTTGAGGCTCAACAAAGTCGGGTAGCCCTAGGAGTCTAAAATCATCTTGTGGGGCGCTGGGTTGGCTCAGTGGGTTAAGCATCTGCCTTTGGCTCCGGTCATGATCCCAGGGTCCTGGGATGGAGCCCCATGTCAGGATCCCTGCTCAGCGGGGATCCTTCTCCTTCTCCCTCTGCCTGCCGCTCCCCCTGCTTGTGCTCTGTGTCAAATAAATAAATAAATAAAATCTCTAAAATCATCTTGTGCTACTATATGACAACAGCTCCCTGTTTTGTTCCTAATTCTCTTTTTAAAAATAATTTAAAACATTACTAGCTTTGTATGATTCTACTTATCCATTGGGCTGATGTCTTCAGGGAGTTCTCCTCAGTGACTCCCAGATCCCTTTGCTGAGCCAGAACTGATGAACACGGTTTGGCTTATTTTCCTCTAAATGCTCTTCACAGTTTTCAAATTGTTGCCACACAAACTATGTCATATGTTCTCATGAAGGACAGGAAGCATAGATTGCTATCTTCATTTTATAGGTTAGGAAATTGAGGTCCACAAAGATTAAATGACTCACTCAAGAGCACAAGGCAGTTTATACCAGCACTCCGAGAAGAATTTCTAGTCTTGAACTGATCACTTACTAGCTGTGTAATTTGTGTACATCCCTTGACATTTCTGTGTCTCAGTTTCTTCACATGTAAACCATGGCTATCCTACCTACTTTTTATCCCTTATGGAGTTATGAATGATAAACTGAAATATTACTATTTGCCATTTATATAGCATTTACATTTTTCAAACTCTACACATCTCTTATCTCATTTAATCCCATAAGACTGGTTTCATTATTATCTCCAATTTAGAGGTGAAGAAGTAGAGCCTGAGAATGACTCACTAACTTGGTCAAAGTTACAGAGCTGCAATGTGTCAGAGCTGCAATCTAGATTCTCTGACTCCAGATCCAGTGCCCTTTCCACTATACCACATCTACTGGGAAGCTCACATAAGTGAGGCAACCGATGTGAAAGTGCTTTATAAAATGTAAATGCCTTACAAATGCTATATAAATGTTAAGGACTATGACAACCTGCTACCATACTAGCAAAGAGGACTCAGAAACAAAGTTGAGAAAGTTGCTGCATATACAGATCAAAAGTGTCAGGGGCTGGGTAAGGAAGCTGCCCATAGGAACAGAAGAACTTGAAGTACAGGTATCACCATTCCAAAGGCAGATCCATGAAAATAAACCTCCCATCTTGGTTTTAAATCTTGGACTCAGGATAGCAACCTAATCACTTCAGACATATTCTATGCTAAAAGTCAACTGAGCACAAGCACAGAGCTGGCTGTCAACCTTAATCTGAAGTCAGAGTCTTCTGTTACCTTTAAAGCTGCCACCTATAAAGATGGCTGAGTGGACCTGATCAAAGAGGCTCAGATATTTCAATGCCCCAATGTAACACCAGACTCGACTGTCAAGATTCTCTAATAAATGTAAGACAGCCCTAATATTACTAACACTAGACACACGGGTCAGTAATTATCGTTGTACTCAAGACTAGCTAGCTTAGAGAAGTAAACTTCAAATTATCACAGCTATATTTTCACTACTCAGGTTTTCATCCAGCAGAATGCATTCAAGACAACATGTGCACATTTATTACCCTTTTGGCAGCACATGGTCTGGTCATAGTGACAGGCAATAGAACACATCTTAGTGTTTCATTAGAGCCTTGTTGAGACCATGGGAGCTTGGCACTATTTAATTCTGACTAAACTCCAAATCAATAACTTGTTAAAGAAAGAAACTGTCACCCTGAGGGGCTACCAGAGTAAAAAGTTACCAACCTCAGCTTGTTTGCACCAAACGCTGATGTTTTTACGCTGGGCTTTTGTGAAATGGTCCCATGCCTTCTGTTTGGAGGCGGAATGGTACACAGCTACTATCTGCTCAACTGCAGCATCAGATCAGCAGTCAAATCAGGTCAGAGTATCATCCAGGGGTGGCAAAAGAGAGGAGAAAAGAAATAAGAGAAGCATCAGGCTTGTTGTATCTTCTCACATGACACCACTAGGCTATGGTTGTGCTCCGAAAAGGTTACATGTGTTGGGGTACTGTGATCTTAAAGAAGACTCAAAGGCAGAGATAGCAGTATGGAGAATAAATAAACGGAACTCCAGAAGGTTCGGGGTGAAATGGTGACCAAAGTTTTAATACAGGCAGTCTGTATTCATCCAGGCAGGTGAGGCAAGAGCTGTGGTGAATGTGATTTAGTACTAATGACCCAGTGAGCGGCAAACTTGTACCAGCTCCTTCTGACCACAGGCTTCTTTCATAAACTAGCCTTCCAAAATGAGCTTGCATACTTCACTTCAACAGAATCCATCCTTTTGTTATTCTGAGGTATATTTAATCAGAAGCATCAAATCGGAACCTAAGATGAATGGAATCTATTTTAAGTCTATGTAGATGGGCTCGTTGACTGGACAAACAGAAGTTTTATGGAAGAATACTTGCAAGTGCAGTCCTAAAACATATTTTCCAGAGTCTCTTAAAAAATGTCAAATGGAGAAATGTGTACAAATATTCTGGTGCTTTTACCTAACCAGTTCGTGAGAAGAATAGAAGAGAGGGGGCAGGAATAGAAGGACAACAGCCTCTTCCTGAGTGGGTATTCACAGTAAGAAAATCCAGAGGTGTTATTTTTTTTTCTTTACAGCCCTGATTGTACCCTGTCTATGAATGATTTAAGGATTTATAGTCCCATGATGCTTGCTGCTCTTTTTTCCTATTTGTTTTGAAGTCCTAAAAACATGTGTTTTCTCTGCCTGGATTCTATGCCCATATATATTTTCAAAATAAAAATGGAAAATGAAAGAACTCTTCCTTAATCCTAATTATGTATGAGTCAAGTGTGGGAAGTCACATATGAGAAGAGTGGGCCTTAATTGTTTAAAAGCCAAATCATAAAACTATATCCTTATTCTTAAGGTGAATATAGTTCCTTACTATAAAGATATGAGTGCATAATTGTATAATATGTTGAACTAAAAACATCACTTGAGAATTTTTCTGATCTCTCTCATTTAAGAGACCAAGGAAAGGTTTGGAGTAGTACTTCTTTTTCTTTTCTTTTTATTTTGGTGCAAAAAGGTGGTTTTATTAAAGCATGGGGACAGGACCTGTGGGCAGAAAGAACTGCCAGGAGTAGTACTTCTTTTTGAAAATGGCCATTTTGGGGTGATGGGTATTAAGGAGGGCATGTGTTGTGATGTGCACTGGGTGTTATATGTAACTAATGAATCATTGAACACTACATCAAAAACTAATGATGTACTATACAGTGGCTAACTGAACATAATAAAAAAAAAAAAAGTAAAGAAAATGGCCATTTCGGCAGTTTCCCATCCCACCCAGTGTCTACAATATCCAGAAAAAAAAATTGAAGTGAAGTGAAACAACAGGTAGAAGTAGCAAATTTGGCTTCTATTCAATCACCCTGGGAAACATAATTATACTTTCACTAAAATGTAGTACCTAAAAAAACATAATATGATGATGCAGATCTGAAGCAGCTTATAAATGCTGATGCTGTATTCTAACTTTAGCAATGAAATACCAAACTTTCCACTGAGGTCTGAGGCTGCTTATAACTTACTTTGAAAACAAGCAAAAGTAAAAGCACAGGATGGTGGTCTAGCTGTTGGTGTTTCTAAGGAGCTGAAGGAGATATACCAGCAAAAATGAATATAGGAGGTGCCCACATGTATCCCATTAAATTGGAGCTCAGGCATTTGGCAATATAGAGAGAGCACAAGGCAGTGAAGAAGGGATCCTTGCCCCTCAACACAGGCTGGCTTTGTAGGCCTGGCTCCCTTGCAGAGAACGTGGTGCCAAAGTGAAGCGCCCTCTCACCCTTCCACAGAACTCTGACTTCTACTCACATTGAATGAGAATTCCAGAAGGGGCCTGCTTGAATAGAACTCTGACTTCTACTCACATTGAATGAGAATTCCAGAAAGGGCCTGCTTGAATTTCTCCTTTGCTTCTTCCATGTCTTTCTCATGGGCAGCTTTCTCGTTCACGAGGCGGCGAACGTGGCTGTTGGCTGACTGGATCATAGAGTAGAAGTTGTTGGCGCTGCGACGGTTCACCTCTCCTCGTTCAATCCAGGTGAGCAAGGTCTGTACAGCTTCTGAGAATTTGGAATCATCTGAAAAAAGAGGATTTTTCAAATCATCAAAAGTAACCATGTCTCTACCTACCCAACATGCTGGCAAGGAGACCCCACCATGGCTTGTTGGAAGTGGTTGTTAAATGAACTGCGGAGGACAAAGAGCTGTGCGTGCACACACAGGTGGCAGGCAGGCAGGCTGAAAGGACGAAAGACCCAAAATGTAGTCAGACTGGTTGTAGTCTATGAGGAATTTTCAGAAAGAGAATTGGCACGTATTGCATGGAGCACTGGATGTTATATGCAACAATGAATCATAGAACACGACATCAAAAACTAATGATGTACTGTATGGTGACTAACATAACATAATAAAATAAAATAAAACAAAACAAAAAAAAGCAATAATTGTTTCTTCTTTTTTAAAAAACATTTTCTTTACTGATACGGAATTTATTAATTAGAGTAGAAGTTTACTGATTAGAGTTTTCACATATTGCGAACTTCTTAACCTCTCTGATTGTATGTGTATGCAGGTGTGTAATGTATGAATTAGCAATGAGAGAACTTCAGAACCCTACAGACCTGTTTTTTTAATAAGGAAAAGTAAACCTAAGTCTTGAGTTTAACTTGAATTTGATAGTAACTTTATCCTGGATCCATGAAATTATAGTGTTGGAAGGAGCCTTAAGAAAGAATACACGGGTAGTTCTTAAGGCATCAACACATATTTTTGACCTCTTATAGCATCACTCCTGCATTCAGTCCACAGCCCTGGGCTTTTCACTCAGTCCCAGTCATAATCTGTCTTGATGTAATTCATTCTATTTCTGCATTTCTCCACATCCTGATTCTCTTGCCTGAGGAACCCTCCAAGTAGATTTCTGCAGCTAGTTAGGAGTTGTTCTCTGATGTTAAAATAGTAGTACAGCTTATCCAAAGCTTCTGGTTCAGCTTCCTGAGATAGGCACTTATATATTCTGTTAGAGGCTCCTGAGAGAGAGAGATCCATTAGCATCCCACTGAAGGCCTGTTCTAGGGCTCCACATCCCTGTCTGGCCAGAAACCCTTATGTGCAGTGGAAATAGCTCTCACTGTGATTTGAACTTCTTGCCTCTTGCCATTTTCCAGTGCAGACATACCATGAGAGGTAATCCTCCCCTTTAGGACAGCTTTTTATTTCATTACTTGCATACAATCTTTATGTTTGCTGCTCATTTTTTGCATGAGGCCCACACACCAGCACGTTCATTCTTTAAAAAAAAAAAAATCAAACTGATTTGTTTGGTGTCCTATAAACATGACGTTTTATCAATGCTTTCAGCCATTCCAGCTTTTCAAAATGTACCACTCTTTCTGTGTCTCCACTCTGTGTCTCTCTTCTCTTACAGGAAGACAGAATCAATCCAAATGAAGGATTTCTTAAATGTGTGAATCCCTTAGGTTATATGTTGCAAACAAGTTTGGTGAATGAGACCTATTTGGAAAGTGGAATTAGCAGCATCGTGCTGAGTTTGGAGCACAAGAAGCACGGAAAATTCATACCATTAGAGCCAGGTTGGTATCATCAACAAGATCAATAGGACACCAGCATTCATCCAATAAAATCAACCATAATTGGAGAATGAAAAAGACTGGATTTGAACTACTAACACAGGAGACCAGGCAGGGCAATTAAAGTTAAATTAGAATAATGGCTCTGAGAGTCAAACATGGGGAACAGGAACAAAAACTAAAGGGAGAATGGTCTGATTTAGCAATGTTTCGAAGTCTCCATAGTCACCATATGAAATAAGTTGGCCATTTTAAGTGATTAAAGAAGTCATCTTTTCGTTGGTGGTAGCTAAGTCTCTGAGCCATCTATGAATGGACACTGTGACCACTCTCTGGGCCCCCATTTTCTCATCTGTGGAAAGGGAATTTTTACCAGAGTTTTCCAGAGTGACATCAACTTCTATCATTCTGATTTAGAATTCAAAACTAACTTGTTATCCACAATGAAAGGGGATGCTGACAGGTCCCAAGTCATGAATCACAGCTAAAATTCTCTGATGTAGAAAAGTGGGGAAAATGCATCTCATCCTAGTCATCTTATGTATGGAGAGAAAAACACCATCCCTTGAGGCAGTGCAGGAGTAGAGACACAGGTGTGTGGACAAATCTTTCTGGTTCTTCAGTTACTAGGTACGTCTCTCTATCTGCAAAACTCCAACACAAGAAATGCTTAGAATCCGTTAGTGGGAAATTCAAAGGATAACTGTCAACAATACAAATATATCTATTAAATTTCCCCAAAGAAAAGAGTTCTTTTAATTACAAAGCTCAAGTGCTTTCTGTACCTTTTAGTTTTTCAGCAACAATGCTGCATTCGTGATCTGAGTAGTGGACCACTGGTGGTGGGGATGGTGGCCGCAATCTTTCTTCTTCCATCCTTCTGCGGTGGCGCTCCTCCCTTGCGAGCATACGCTGTTTGCATTCCCACTCATACAGGTCATCTCGAGCCTGTGCAAAATCAACATGGAGCCGGCCTGTGTCCTTCTTGTCAGTGCTAGAGCCCAGGCGAATGCGGTAACCTGAGTGCACAAGAGGGAGAGAGAGGAGTACAAGAGTAGCTCAGTGGGTGAACAACTGTTAAGTACTTTTCCAAGTTCAGTGCTTCCAATGTGGTTGTAGCAGTTTCAAGTGACCACATAATCTTAAATTCTCTCCCCACTACTAGCGAGGTGAACCATCAAAAAACTTGGGACTATAGTTTCATTTCTGATCACAGTTTACTATTCTATGGGTTGGGTCAATCTTGTTCATAGGAGTTCTATTCCTCCATCTGCCACCCTACCTCTGGCAGAGGGAGGCTCTAGGGGTTATGGTATTAAGAATAAGCCTTATATGGCACCATGGGTTGGAATGAATGGGAAAGGTAGCCTCAAACTGTGGTGTCTTTGGATGACTTCAGGAGTATCAGTCATACCACTATATAGAATTTTAATAAAATTTAAATGGATCAGCTTGACATTTCAATTCCCCAAATTGTTTCCTAGATGTATTTGGCAACCCTGAACTTTTTTCTTTCTGGAAAAAAAATGGATATGATAGGCAGTGGTATGTGAGCCACGTAATATATATTTTGAGATCCTTAAAAAAAGAGGTAGTGTGCTTGTAATCTAGTGGTATAAGACCAGGATTCATAAAACCAGGATTGAAGTCCATACTTCCACTTTTTGTGCCAGCTGTACTACCCAAGTTAAATCTCTTAACAAAAACGTGAAAAACATTTATTAAGTTTTTGTTAACTTTTTAAGTTTCAGAAGCAGAGCTAGCTGCTTCCACACACATTTATTTCACTTCATTCTCAGCATAAGCTTGCAGACCAACTCCTGCCTTAAATAACTAAAAATATGGAAAATATACATGAAACAATGGTTTTTAAGACATTGGACATTGGGCAATGAAGACAGAGATCACTGAGAGACAAGAAGCAAATGAAGTGATCCCTGTGATTTCTCCAGTTTATTACATGGAGAGAGTTTCCAGGCCTCAGGACAGGGAGAGGAGCTCAGTCAAAGCATGGTGATCTCCCTGAGTTGAAGAGATTGAACTAGGAATCCAGGGAGACTATGGCCGACAGAGTTTATATGGCAGAGTACTGGAAAGAAGAAAGCTACACAGAGAAAGAACTTCAGAGATCTGCAGAGGGTCCTCCATTATTATTTAGCTGCACATTGATGTCTCTGTGTGTGTGTGTGTGTGTGTATGTAGAAACTACCTGTGCATTAGAGGCAACAATCCCTGGAGCTCACATGGGGCTGGGAATAGTTCCTTTCCCCACAAGCCAGAGCAGAAAAAAAGAGAATAATTCACAGAGTATAGAGTAGAGTAGTCAGAAGGGTTTTGCCTTAGTTAGTGGAGAAAAATGAGCCCTAGACTAAATCCTGCTCTGGTTCTGTTGAACAAAGCTTAAAAAACAAGACCTAAAAGGATAAAAATTTTTCCAAGTTACTAAACTGCATCCCAGAACAAAGTTCAAGAATATTTACAGGAATGAAAAATATATGGTACCCAACATGGTAAAATTCACAATGTTTAGTATCCAATAAAAAAATTACCCAATATTCAAAGAAGCAGGAAAATCACAAGAAAGATTAAAAAATTAACCAATCAAAATGGACCCAGAAGTGATACAGATAACATAATTAATATACAAGGACATAAAAACAACTATTATAATTGGATTTCATATGCTTAAGAAATTAGAGAAAATGTAACCATATTAACTAGTAACACAAAAGACATAAAAAAGAATCAAAATCAAATTTCTAGAGATTTAAAGTACAATGTCTGAGTTGAAAAAAATTCACTGAATAGGACCAATGGCAAATTAGACACTGCAGAAGAAAAGATTAATGAACTTGAAGACACAGCAATATAAGTCATTCAAAATGAAATACGGAGGAAAGGGACTGAAAGAAAATGAACAGAGTACCAATGAGATGTGGGACAACTTCAAGGGGCCTACTATAGCCTAACTGGGGCCCTGACTGAAGAGAGGGGAGGGAATAGAAAAAAATATTTGAAGAAATAAGGGCAGAAAAATGTCCAAATTTAATGAAAACTCAGAGATCTAAGAATTTCAATGAAACTCAAGCACAAGAAATATGAAGGACATTATACCAGGCATATAATAATCAAATTTCTCAACACCAGTAATAAAAAAGAGAATATCTTAAAAGCTTTCATAGACTTAAGACATGTGCAGAGAAACAAAAAGATAACATCATATTTCTTGTTGGAAACAATACAAACAAGAAGATAATGAAGTAACATCCGAGAGAAAAAAAAAACTGTCCACCCAGAATTCTACATCCAGAGAACATATCTTTCAAAAAAGAAAGGTGGAATAACTTCTTTTTGATACATACAAATGCTGAAAGAATTAATCAGGAGCAGACTTGCACTATAAAAATTGTTAAAGGAAATTCAAGCACAGGGAAAATGATATCAAATGGAAATTTGAGTCTATACCAAGGAAGGAAGAGCATACATAATATATGATTCCATTTATATGGAACTCTAGAAAATGCACACTAATCTCACAGACAGTGGAGCAGTGGTGGCCTGGGGAGAGAAGGGAGGGGTAGGAGGAAGGGATCACAAAAGGAGTATGAAAGAAGCTTTTGGGGGAGGTGGACATGTCCATTATTTTGACTGTAGCGATGGTTTCACAGCTGTATGTATGTATGTGCCAAACTGTATTTTTGAAATATGTGAATTTCACTGTATGTCAATTATTATACTTCAACAAAGCTGTTATAAAGAATGCCCCTTAACACTAAAACCGCTACACATTCTTTTTAGAAAGAGGAAGAATACATTTCATAAGCACATTTTGCTAGGGCTCTTTACAGTTTACAATGCACTTTCACACTCAGTCATCTTATTTGATCATCTGAGCCATCAGAAAAAGGGCTATTAATGATTACCTTGCCTATTCTCCCAGTATCATGGAGAGGATCAAACAAGAGGATGATATGAAAGCTTGGTATAAACACACGACAGATACTGTGATGCTATGAGATTGGTACATCGTGCACAATGCCAGCTCCCTAAGATGCTCAAACTCCAATAGAAAGAAATGGTTATTTCTACATTCCCAGCCCCTTTTCTAAAGGATTTTTGTTTTAACCTTTTTTTTTTTTTACAATGTGGGAGAACAGCCATCCAATTCAGGACATTTCTAGCACTTATGAGCTTTCGGGGAGCAGGTTCAAATTTATTTTCACATCACTGATGATTGCAATCCCCTTTCTCCTGGCAGCCTTGAGAATGTTTCCAGGATGTAGTTGTTGCCAGAGAGCCGACTACAATGATGTTTAGATGGATACCTCCCGAGCAGCATGTCATCTTTTATGTACAACTGTTCAGAGTTTTTCAAGACCTTTAAGTTCTTATTAAAACAGTCTATTGTGGAATGCTCTATTATCATTCCTAAGTGCTGTCAAATCTTCTGTATATTTTACAGCACTTAGAAAATGTAATAACGTGGGGGGTGGGAGGGATGGGATGTCTGGGTGATAGACATTGGGGAGGGTATGTGCTATGGTGAGCACTGTGAATTGTGTAAGACTGTTGAATCACAGATCTGTACCTCTGAAACAAATAATGCAATATATGTTAAGAAAAAAAAAGAAGAAGATAGCAGAAAGGAAAGAATGAAGGGGGGAAAATCAGAGGGGGAGATGAACCATGAGAGACTATGGACTCTGAGAAACAAACTGAAGGTTCTAGAGGGGAGGGGGTGGGGGGATGGGTTAGCCTGGTGATGGGTATTAAAGAGGGCATGTACTGCATGGAGCACTGGGTGTTAGATGCAAACAATGAATCATGGAACACTACATCAAAAACTAATGATGTAATGTATGGTGATTAACATAACATAATAAGAAAAAGAAAAAAAAGAAAATGTAATAAGACTATTCTACATCTCAATAGCCAAATTATGGAAGCAGCCCAAGTATCCATTGATAGATGAATGGATAAAGAAAAGGTAGTATATATATATATATATACACACACAATGGAATATTATTCAGCCATAAAAAGAATGAAATCCTGGGCGCCTGGGTGGCTCAGTTGGTTAAGCGACTGCCTTCAGCTCAGGTCTTGATCCTGGAGTCCCGGGTTCGAGTCCCGCATCGGGCTCCCTGCTCAGCAGGGAGTCTGCTTCTCCCTCTGACCCTCTTCCCTCTCGTGCTCTCTATCATTCTCTCTCTCTCTCAAATAAATAAATAAAATCTTTAAAAACAAAACAAAAAGAATGAAATCCTGCCATTTGCAATGACATGGATGGAGTTAGAGAGTATTATGCTAAGTGAAATAAGTCAGAGAAAGACAAATACCATATATGATTTCACTCCTATGTGGAATTTAAGAAACAAATGAGCAAAAGGGAAAAAAGAGACAAACCAAGAAACAGACTTAACAATAGAGAACAATCTGATGGTTATCAGAGGGGAGGTGGGTGGGGGGATGGAGGAAATAGGTGATGGGGATTAAGGAATGCACTTGTTGTGATGAGCTCTGGGTGATGTATGGAAGGGTTGAATCACTATATTGTACATATCTGAAACTAATATAACACTATGTTAACTAACAGGAATTAAAATAAAAAAACTTTATTAAGTTTTTAACCTTCATTAAGTTTTCCCTGGCCTGTTGCAACAGGCATCTAACTGACCTCCCCTCCTCCTAGATACTGGGGATTCAAAGTTAAATAAGACACAGTCCCTTCATTTAAGGAGTTCATACTCTGGTCAGGGAGACAGATGTGGAAAGAGACAGTTCTAGCATGGTGCTATAGGTGTCATGCTAGGAGGAAACATTGGGTACTGTGGAAGTGCTAAGGAGGGGTTGCCCAGACCAGCCTGAGGCACAGTGGGGAGAGAAGTCAGAGAAAGCTTTCCAGAAGAGGTTATGCTTGAGCTGGAGCTTTGGGGTGTGAGGATGTATATATGGCAGGTGGGATGGAAAAGGTAATTATAGTCAGAGGGAAAAGCAGAAGGCACCATGGCACATTCTGAGAACTAGAATTAGCTCAGTGTGGTTAGGACATCGTATGTGAGGGAAGAACTGGGAGATGGTGCTGTGAGGTAAGACAGATAGATAATCAAGGCCCTTAGATGTGACAAGTAAGGAGTTGTGGACAAAAGAGACAACTGAGAACTACCAAAGAACTTTAAGAAATTGGGTGCAAACATTCATTTTCCATCTCTGAAGGCAAGAGGGGATAGCAAAAACTTTATCTGCCGCAGATGCAAATACACTGACCGGCAATCTCTGCACTGTGCCTGGTGGGCACACTGCTCATAACTAAGCACCTACCAGAAAGATAAAGGGCTTTGTCCACCATGTATTCCTCAGCAAAGCGAATGTGACAAAAGTTCTTTTTGCTCTTCCGAATAGCAATGATCTCTCCACACTGTTCGAACACTTCCACAATGATCTGCTCTGTCCCATTTTCAGGCAGGCCACCCACAAATACTGTTTTGCACCCTGGTGGTCGTTCTCGAGTTGCAGGAGGTGGAAGATCTGAGTGGAATTGCAAAAGCAATTAAATTAAATTAAATTAAAAATTAAATTAAAGAATTAAGATGTTTGCTTGGGACAGAACTCTTAGAAATCTAACATGTCCCAGAGATAGCCCTTCAGTCCCCATTAGACTTTGGCCCGAGTGCCAAAAGCATGTGGCCTCTAAGGCACTCATCTCTGCTCCATAGCACATGGAAATCATTTTATTCAATGGTTTGGTGATCATGATGCCTAAATGATAAAGACTCAGACCCATCTCTCTGTCCCATCCAGAGTTCTTTAATTCTGTTCTTTACTTTTGCTGTGACAACTCAGCTATGCCCAATTTTCAGTCATTTTTGCTAATAAGACAGTTGGGGGGAAATCCCACTCACTTTAAATTCTTACTTTCTGGAATTCTCGGAACCAAGGTCCCTGAGAGAAGGGGTGTTTAATTCAGTTTATAGTTACTAAATTCTCTGTTCATGCTTACTGAAAGAACTGTTTCAGAATTAATTTGACAATGATGGGGTAAACATTTACAAAAATATTTATGGGTACCAGAATGATTTGGCTGACAAAGTCAGCCAGACTATAAACCATCCTTTCTAGGTTTTTTTGTCTTTTGATACCAGTGAGTCCTTCTTCCAATTTCTGGCTGGAGAGGTGAGGTCCAGAGTCAATCCTGCAGCATTTAGAGGGAAGTATGAAAAACAGCAGAGAAAGTAAGCTCGTCTGGGAAATCATTAACTAAAGTGAGATAAATTTGGCTATAGAGAGTCATTAAAAACCTATTTAATGAGATGATTCTCCCTCTGCTAAAAAAATATGCTTTCTACTCGCTCATCTTATACATAAAGCCTGTTGTATCTGCCAGCTCCGTCTTGCTATTTATATGTATCCAAGCATTTTCCAAGCAAAATTCTACAGTTCACAGCCCAACAAAACAAAGCATGAAGGTCAAGGGTTTTTTTTTAGTGTTAGTTTTGTATCTGCAAGGATTTATTTTGTGTAATCCATTCTTTCCATTCAGCTCTTTACAATAATTCTCCCAGCTCAAGATTTAGAGAGCTCAACAACTAGTGATTACAGCTCCCATGCAAAAATAAATGAGTCTCACTTGTAGATCAGGCCAAGGTCCCCACTTGACGCTTATCCAAGTTGGCAAGTGGATGATTTGGGAGCCTCCTTGGGTATGAGCATCTCTAGCTTCCTTACTTTGCTACCACTGTCTGTCTTATCAGTGTGGCTCAGAATAATCAGGTTCTCATGATGCTCTCTTCCCCTCTATTTAGTCAATAAAAGGGGTATAGGGATTCAGGGAACTTATAAAGTTTCTGTTAATTTTAAAAATTTCTGTCATTTCAAGAATTCATTGTATGGTCTTTGTTCTATAGGAGAAGTTTAAAAGGAAAAGGAAGATAACCTAGTGAGCAGGAATCTGAAATGTCTTAGTCATGCACACTGGAGCAGTGATAGCACTGATTTTAGCCAAAAAGGGGAAAAATGAGGTCCAGAATCTCTTGAGGCTTCTGCTTCTGAGTTTTTTAAGAAATAGAAGGATTCTAATATCACACACTTCCAGTGATTCTCAACTCTGACAGCACATTAGAATCAACTTGGGAGTCAAACAAAAAATCCTGGGCCCACTCCAATGAGTGATTTAATTAGTTTGGGTGCAGCCTGTGCATTATTTTTTTTAGAGCTCCTCAGGCAACTCTAATGAAAGCTAGGATTGAAAACCACTGACTTGGTCTAAACTTCTCATGTTACAGAGAAAACCTTAGCTGAGTCAGGTCGAGTGACTCATTCAAGGTCACCAAATTAGAAAGAGAAGGAACATGAACTTGGAGCAGGTAAACTTGGATTTAAACCTCAACTTAATAACTGTCTGTAGGACCTTGTGAAAATTACATAACCTCTGAGAACCTCATTCTTTCATCTGTAAAATGGGGATACTGTCTTCTACCTTACAAGGATTTTTGTAGGATAATCGATAATCTATGTCTATATTGCAAGTGGTACAATGCCTAGCACTTGATAGGTTCCCAATAAATAGTAGTTATTGTAGTGTTATTATTATTTACTGTTATAGAACCCGGGTTTCCTGATTACCAATCTGAGGATTTCTAAAGCCCTACCACAAGTCTGGAGTGGAGTGGTAGCTTAAGACCTGGACTTCTAAATTCCCAGCTCCTTGCTTTATCCAGATCTTCAGATAAGGCTTGGTTTGGGAAGGAATCACTCTTCTAAATCGAGGAATCTACAGCTGTGAAGACACATATAGTTTTGACCATGGAACACAGAGCCATGTTTTCAAATCAAGGGCTTTAGCCAAAAATCCCGTTTTAGAATCCTTCTGAAGTTTACTATTTAAGGAATTTGATGGTAAAGAAACTTTTTGTGGAGCAAATGATCACCTTTTTATATTTTTCAAGTTTGCTTAGTTAGGTCTACCTTTTGGTCCACTGAGAGACTCAGGAATGTCTGGTTACTTTGCCACAGTTACATATAACACTGAAAATACAAAGGCTTTTTCCTTTAAAAATTCTGTGGGGTTTAAAAATTCTGTGATGAAGTCATCACCCTATTCAGATGCTGTGATTATTTTGTGGTAACTGCTAAGTAAGAAAGCATAAAAGCCACTAAGAGTGGGGTCAAGAATGCTGGGGTTTATTTATTTTCCTTGGGTAAATGTAGAAAGCCTCTTCGATAGCATTTGCTAAGGTTTAGGTGTATGCCACTCAACAAGGCAACAGGCTGTACTATCTTCCTTAATGGATAGTACTTGTACTTTAATTAGCAGCTCAAAGCACTTTGCTGTCTGGGCCTGATTTTCTAATCCCACTGAAATATAGTGATCTGGGCACAGCAATGATAACTCCATAGGAGAGCAAATTCAAAGTTCACCCATTAATCAGGTAATGTGCTAAACTCTCTTAACACCCCAACCACTACTCTGGATAGAGACGAAAACTTCATGTAAAATGATTCAAGATAACTGAGAGTATAAAGAACTTTATCTCTGGTAATGAAAAAGGAGGAGCTTCTAGCAACTCTAATTACAACTAAGCACCTACTCTGGGGAGCTCTTTTGGGGCAATCAGCATTAAGATCAGAGTCACTGCTGATCTTTGAGAAGTGAGGTAGGGGGCAGCAAGTGGCATAAACCACTTGCTTGTATCTTGCTTTTCAAAGGAGCGTCAGATATCACTCCACTGGTTTGCCAGAATTTATGTACTGCAAAGTCTTTGAGTTGATTTTATTAGACAGCCCAAGACTGAAGGCCTCCTAGACAATCAGCAGGGGCCAGATATATTTTAATGTAATTCCAACTGATTGGTAATAATCAGAAGACTGGTGAATCTTTATTCTCAATTTACCCACTTTCTCTAATTTTCTTTATAGAACCCAGCCCTAGGAGCCAAAATGAGGTTGGCCTGTTCTGAAATAGTAAAATGAAAAAAATTGCTTTTTTTTTCTGGCTCCTGGGTGTTTTCCCACATCCCCGTATATACCAGGTGATATTCCACCATTTATTCCAAGTTTCCTGTTAACTGGACAGTAGACTCAAAATGCAACCTCTCCATGCAGAAGGTCTATCAGCTGAAGTGGGAGGAAAATCGATAGTGTCGTATCCTGAAAGCCAAGTAAAAAAGTATACTAATGAGTAAGCAGAAACCAACTGTGTCATATATGGCTATTAGGTCATTTAGGAAGAGAACTGAGAATTGACTACTGGATTTAGTATTATAAAGTCACTAGAGTTCTTAAACAAGGGGCATTTTGAAAGGGGGCGGGGCAAAAGCATAAATGAAGATTTAAAAGAGAAATTGAAAAAAACTGGAAACAGCTAGTAAAGAGGGTTTTTGTACAGAAATGCAAACTCCTCTTTTAAATTTTAAAATGTTGGAATTCCTCAGGGCACTCTGGTTGTCATCCTTTCTTGAGCTATATAATCTCTCTAGTGGTCTTGGTCATTCTTACACTTTCAAATGACGTATTGTTTCAAGAAGGATGAAGGGGTCACTAGTACTAAAAATAGGAGAGAAATAAAGTAATTTAAGGGGTAAAAATTATTCACTGGACCTAGCACCCAATATTTAAGTGAAAATGCATTAGAGCGATGAATGATTAACTATTGTTTTAATTTCAGTATCTTCCACATGGAAATGTTCCAGGAGAAGATAGGCTTGCAGTTGGGCTGGAGAGGAATGGAATACTGGGAAGCAGTTGAACTTGACTAAGGGGTGGGTAAGTGGCAAGTAGAAATGATGGATCCAAGTCAGTCACATGAAGCATACCAGTGAAAGGTTTTTGAAGTCAGGAGTTGGACTTGGCATTTGTGGGCAATGGGAGCCCCAGGACTTTTGGGTTCTGTATATGTGACAAGAACCTGGATGAAGTGTCAGGTGGGATGGGGGTAAGGAATTGATGGTAAAGATGCTTTCTAATGAAGCGAGACAGAAGCAGATTCGATGGCTGCATAAAGAGACTGTGAGATCACAGGACCTTATTGCTTGAGAGGCCACTGAGTGCAAGAGAATATATCAGAGACAGAGGCAGAATATAGCAGAGGCAGGCTAAGTGCTGGGGTTTATAATCAAGGCCTTAGCAGACAAGGTTGGTAGGCTTTGGAGAAGATAAGGGATTCAGGCATACCAAATCCCTCTTCCCATCACACCTTCATAGTCTGGGGTGTTAACAAAAATCATACTTGCCATGCTTTCAGCACAGAACTAAGGGAGTCTTCTCCATTAGCGTTTTCCCCCAGACAATTAACCTGAGCCCCCTTGTAACAAAATCCAAGTTCTAAACAGGAAATAGAATACCAGTTTACTTTAAGCTGTGTCAGGAGGGTCCGTTTTTAATTCAATCCAAAGCCAGGTTCCTTCCCAGAAGCCACCACTTTACTGGCACTAATTGCTCTGTCTGTATTCTTTTTTTTTTTTTTAAAGATTTTATTTATTTATTTGACAGAGAGGTAGAGCCAGAGAGAACAAGTCGGGGGGAATGGCAGAGGGAGAGGGAGAAGCAGGCCCTGCACTGAGCAGGGAGCCTGATGCGGGGCTCGATCCCAGGACCCTGGGATCATGACCTGAGTCGAAGGCAGATGCTTAACCATCTGAGCCACCCAGGTGCCCCAACTCTGTCTGTATTCTTAACACAGAGATGAAGAACTAAAGGATTGAGCTATGAAGGTAAAATGTTCCTTTTTACTCTGTGGCCCTTCCAGCTCAGAACTGCGAAGGCATGGTGTAGGTGGGGAAAGATAAATGTATTTGAGAGATGTCTGTCTTTTTCTTTTCCTAGAGACTATCAAAAAGTTAGAGCCTCATAAAAAAATTTTAGAGCCTCTTTAAGCTGTGTATGTCTGTATTCTTTTAAAGTCTGCTCAGCAATATGGTCTATGTGTTATACACAAGGTATCTGTTATTCTTTGGAAATTCAGCAACTGAATAGCCTATAAAGTTGTCACTTCTACACAGCCAAGATATTACAGGTTATGAGCCATCCTGTTACAGTGGACTTGATTGAGACAATGAAAGCCTAGTGCAGGCTGATTATGTAATAAATGGATGATTAAACCAGCAGGATTCTACCTTTACATACGTAGGAGGTTTTAACACTGGAAATGCCTAAATTCATGGCTTTTGAAGTGAAGAAAGGTAGTATCAGTGATGCACAGCTTTCTCTAATCCAAAAGCAACACACAGGAAGACAGGGAAAAAAGTCCGCTGCCCATTTGTAAGGACAGTGGCAGTAAGAGTAAGAGACAAGGGTACAACAGTGCCATTCATTCACCTGGGCACTAAACACAAATCCAGGAATGGCCACTTGAGCTGGCAGGTAAGGCCTACTAGGCCATCTTATTCTCCATTCCCTAATTCTCCTGTGACATACTAGCTCTTCTCCCAATTCAGTCCTCTGAGATGCTAGCCTCCGAGATTTCTTACTGGCCTGGAAGGAAGTACCCTGCTGACGATCAAGTTCAAAGACCTGAAGAAGGCATTAAGAACATTTTTCACTAGCAAAAGGAACCAAGGTGATTTGTCTAACCAACCCTGACTGATTCTAAAATTCTCTCGGTTGTGAGCAGACTATCCTAAGTAGAATCTGGGTCCCTGCCAGGGCGTGATTCCATGATTAACTGATTCCTATGTAAGGTAGGAGATGAAATAGTTGTCTGAAGTCACATGTCAAAAGTTATGTTTTTTGTGATAAGGCCAGTTCATTTGTCTATGGCCTGAACCCTTGAATGTGTCCCTTAACAGCTTTAATCTCAGCACTGTGGTGGCAGCTCCCTTAAGTAGGCCACCCAGCACCACCACTAGAATCATGGAAAAAGCTTTAATGAGGCTTGAGTCATGGGCAGAAATAACTTCTGATCACTTAAAGTAAATAAAACCCCAAATATATCCAGAAAAAAAAGTTTGAGTCAATTATTGCTGCTATATTTTAAGTGAAATATGTCCACCATATCTTTGCAGATGTTTTTAAGAGTCTAAGGAGAAACCTGTTCATTACTGACAAGATAGATTCCTAGACCATTTCCACATGAATTTCATTGATTGGATGGATGCAAGTGGTTTGACTTAGTCTTGGTATTCCTCTTTGCCCTCATTGCAAGTTAAACCTCACCCCACTGTCTGTTGCAGCCCATCAGTTGAACAGCAGTAGTTGGAGTGATGTGTGAATAGCTGGTGGCAGTGGAGGATTCTTAGCACCAAATGTATATTCTCATGTGCCTCAGGTAGGCTCAGACACACTCTATTACTGCCATCATCAGCATGTAGGCCAGTTATGAAAAAGAGAGTCTGTAAATGACAGTGTTGAACAATTTGTGTCAGGTGTCTCTTTCTGTACAAACACACTTGAATGCCTTACCAGATGGCATTAGAAACACGTTTTATCATTTGTACTGCAACCAGCACAGAGAAATCTACTGTTCTGTGCATAAAATTCAGCCATGCCTAGTAAGAGAAAATTTTCCTGTCTTCTGTTTTCTAGGTGAAGCTTCTATACATACATCTATGAAGCCCTTGGGTATTCTTTTGAAAAAGAAGAGTGTTCCCACACACCAAAACACTGTGACTTGTGTGGAGAAAAAGCAGAATATTACTTGGATTTGGAGGGAAAAGCGTGCAGCTTTTACAGTGTATGATCTCTTTTACTACTGGCATATCTGGTGGGATTGGAGGAGGTACTATTCCTAAGCCAGGCATCATTGGAGTTATTGGTGGAATTCCAGTCATCATTCCAAGAGCAGGATCAAAATCTAAAAAAGGAGAGAAAAGAGAGAACAGTAAGTGACACCAGGCAAGGTCAAGTGGAGGCAGAATATTACCTTATAAATTTCAAACCAAGGATCTTTCTAAGACAGAAGCAAAATATTTAAGAAAACATGGTATTAGCATTACCAGGTCTTAAATATTATATTCTACTTGTGCATTTTCCTTTTGGGATAGGGCTGTTTGTTTTTGCTTGACCAGTCTGTTTATCTCTATATCTCATTTTGATATCCAAGGCCTTTCATACTATGACTGTGCCTTGTCTGTTGATCTTGCCTTCCACTAGTTCCCAGTGCACACCCTCCACTCCATTCAGACAAGGCATCTTGCTCTCCCTTGTAACACTTCTTGTCTCTTTGCAGTATAGCATGGTATTAAGAGCATACAATTTTGGGCATCAGGCAAACCTGGGTCCTACTTCTATTATTTGCTTAGCAGGATGAATCTTTTGAACCTGCATTTCCTCATTTGCAAACCCTTACCTTATAGGGAGCTATGACAAATAAACAAAATGATGAATGTAATGTGCTTAGCATAATGTATAGCACAAAAATACTCAATAAATAACTATTCTCTGTGCTTTTGTTCATATTGTTCTCCCTGCCTGGAATCATTTGAGCCTCCCCAAATTCTCCCCATACTTCAAGGCCTGCCTTAAATAACTCTCCAAGGCCGCTCTCCCTGAAGAACTTTTTCCAGATAATTCTGGTTCATTCTCAACTCTGTGTTGAAAAACTGTTCTATATCTGTTGCCACTGAATTTTATTTTATTTTGCATCATCTTTTCATTGAGGGATGCTTCTAGGATGTGTAGGGGCCCTCACAAATGTTTTTCTGTGGGGTTCATCTATATACACAGTTCAATTCACCCCAAATCAGCATCAACACTATTCAGTGGCATAATCTCATGAGATACCATGGGAGAAATGCCACACCAGGCAGCTAGAGTGATTTACTTACCAGTCTACCTTCCTGGAAACAAGACTCTGGGAGGACTCCACAGGCAGGAGTTTTGAAGCTTCTTGGAGAATCTGGTTGACTCCACATGTGGGGTAGAGGATTGGAGAGTGACCCAAAGAGGAGAAAGGACTGGGGTCCACATAAGTTCAGTATGAGAGTGGGACTCCTTGCTCAGACAACAGTGCAAGTCCTGGTCAATTCCAGGCAATGAAGAGGAAGTTTAAAAATTTCGAGAAATGTGCTTCTTAAGATTAGAACCTATATAGGACCTGTTCTGGACTCAGGGCACCTACCCTGATCATACTACCTACCTGGCTGGTCCTTAGCACCGGATGGGGACTTAGAAAATATCAGGGCAGGCATTTCAAAGCATGAGGTCCCCTGAGATGAGGGCCTGGGGCAAAGGTCCCACTTGCCTGGGTGTAAGGGTGGTACTGATTTCATTTAAATTTTGTCTCTATATCAAAATGCAAGTTCTTTGAGAGAAGGGAATGCATTCTACTTATTTCCCCACCTCTCACTGTTGTCCTCTGCTACAGAATGCACAATGGACTGCAAACAAAGTATTGCATAAGGAGTTCTGATAACGTAGGGGCAGTTGAAGTAGCACTAGCAGGTCCGACTCCCTAAAACCTTACTCTGCTCACCACAAACACTTGAGGGGCAACGCCTATAAGCATGTCCTTAGGCTGGCTCTGAATCCCCTGGGTGGCTTTCTAAGATATTAAAGGGGGTAGATCTAAACAGGGGGAAGAATCTGTGGTCCCTAGAGAAGCAGAACTTCAGGTACGATAGGATCAGTAGGGGTGAGTCTTATGACCAGGCAGATAGGCAGGCGGGTAGCACATGTGCATCCTCCATTGCAAAGTCAGCCCATAAGAGCTAGGGCATTCCCTATCTTCCCACATGCTTGCTGTCATGCTGAAATATCAAGACCCCAGATATGTTTGGGAAGAAAAAAAAAGGTCTTCCAAGAAATTAGAAGAAATTTTATTTTTCCGAAAACAAATTTACTTTTAGCTCTCATATGTCAGCTCACCCAATATGCACTTGTACACATGCATGTGAGCGTGTGTGCGTAAACACACACACACACACGCACCCTTCCTTCCTCCCTGTGGCTCTCATATCTCTAGTTTCCTCCACATACTAGTTACATGACCTTAGGGAAGGTTTCTTAATATCTGGTAACATAGCACTATTTCTTTTCTGATAAAAGTGGGGATAAATGATGACATTTAGCTCAAAGGATGAAAGGACAGAACAGATATGAAAACACCTGGCATGATAGATGGTAGTCCTGATAGGTAAATTTCCGTCCTTCCATTCAATAAGTTCACTTATTCAGGCATTCATTCCCACATTCCACAAGCATTTGTGATAGCTTTTAATATGTCAGGCTCTATCAGGTGGGGGCAGGGGGTCCAGGTCTTCCTTTCCATCTTGGAGGACTTAGGCCCCTGATACCCTGTGTTTCTATGCTGTATAATAACAGCACTGTGGTTAAAAATGCCATTTGTGTCTTTGGAAAATTTGATTCCTTGTGTATATGATTTTGGAAAAATTGTTAACATTATCTCACCCATTTACAAACTGTTAATTTTCAATAGGAAAAGATCAGATTAGATTGTGTGCCAACTAAACAATTTCATCTATTTTTCCCCTCCAACTGAAATGTTTGTCTTCCTTTTATTGTTCTGCCTGCCTCCTCATTGTTATTCATATAGCTCTGTCACTCACAACTCTACCTTACCACAGATTACAGAAACATCAGTTCATTAAACAAGTTCTGCCACTTCGGCTGAGAAAGAAATGCCTGTCTCCATGTACTGTCTACTAATAAATGGAGACAAACAAAAAACAAATACACAGGATAAATATAACTCCTGACTGATGTACTCACCACTCTGTTTGGTATGATTACATTAATATTTTACAAAATTCATTTAAAAGCAAATGTATTCATGACATATGGCTTTCTTCCTTGTGTTCAATATGCCAAGAGTTCCATAGGCTACACTGCCTAGCAGGGCTTGCTAGAGGGCAGGTTGCACATGATATTTCAAAGACTCCTAACACATTGATTATTTCGTTTGTTTATCTTCAACCATTAAGCACCAAAGTCGATGTGAATTTCCAATGCCAACCAAGAAAATAACCATTTGAAATCATCGGACTTAAATAAGTATTGCAGAATCTGAAAAACCAAAGTCCAACAATTGAAAATACATTGGGAATAGAACACCAGAGAAATTATCTCCCTCTTCAAGGCCCCCAGCCTGGCTTGACAAGTACACCAACAAGTGCGTAGTATTAACATTTATGTTAGGAATTCAAACTTTTATTTATTTATTTATTTATTTTTAAATTTTATTTTATTGTGTTATGTTAGTCACCATACATCATTAGTTTTTTTCTTTTTCCTATTTTTTTAATTTTATTTTATTATGTTATGTTAATCACCATACATTACATCATTAGTTTTTGATGTAGTGTTCTATGATTCATTGTTTGCATATAACACCCAGTGCTCCACACAATACAGGAATTCAAACTTTTGAAGGAGATTTGAAATCGTTTTATAAGGATTATGGAAAAGGCCAAGGTATTCCTCCAAAGTCCTTCCCACAATAAATACCCTGTTCTGTTTTGCTTTTATATCTCTTCTTCTAGCACCTTTTCCCTATAGCCTTCTGACTCTTGGCATTGCCATGCCTGGAAGTGTCATAAGACGTTGGTTTGTATTCCCTCTTCTGATTCATGAACTTCCCCAAATCCCAGCTTACTAGAGATGCTACAAATGCTTTGTTAGTTGGGCCAGCTTGCTCCTCTGAGTTGTGGCTCTACTACATGATTTCAAGTAATATTTCAGTGTAGCCTTAAACATTCCTGCTTCTTAGCAACTTGGGCTCATTCAACCTAGAGTAGTTACCTGGAAGTAAAATCATCCTCTGTTCTCTATGCATTTGAGCCAGGGAGTTACACCAGAGGCACATACCATTTCTGTGCTGCCATCCAGTCATCCATATGTCCATCCAGTTAATAGTTTGATGCCAGGCCCTGTGCCAGGTGTTGGGATTGAGGGAATGAGTAAGGCAAAATCCTCGGCCTCATAGTCTAGTTTAGAAACATCCATGCAGTTACAATGCTGTATCACCAATTATCAACACCCAAATTGTTGGGTGCTTACAATGTGCTAGACACTGTGCTAAGCATTTTATATAATCACATTTCAGTAAGCCTGTGAACTAGCTACTGTTATTATCCTTCATTTTATACAGAAATTGGGGCTCAGAGTATTTAGTTACTTGACCAAGATTACAAGCCAGTAAGAAGCAGAACTAGGATTCAAATCTAGGCTGGTCTAACTATAACGCTCCTAACCACTACACTGTCTCTCAGTATAGTATGACAATTGTTTTAATGAATTAACTTCATTATAGGTGTAAAGTGAACCAGGTATAACTAAAAACATGGCAGATGAGCAACAAAGTGCTTCCATACAATTATTTTTTTCCCAGTGGGACAGATTAAAGGTGGATACAAATTCTTTGAGACTCCTCTCATCAAGAGATGAGGTCTATGTCCCCCACCCCATTTGAATCTGGATGGGCTACAGACTACTTTGACACAAGAAGTGTTCTGTTTTCAGGCTCAGGCCTTAAGAGAGATACCATTCCCACTTCTTGTTTCTGGGAACACATGCTACTGGAGCTTCAAGATACCGTGTAACATGTTGGAGTATCATGGTAGAGAGACATGTGGAGAGGGCCTTAGAGTAAATGGAAAGAGAGGGATCCAGCTGAGCTCAGTGTTTTTATCTGTCCCTGCCAAGGTGCCATGCATATGAATAAAGTTGTCTCGGAACCTCCAGACTAGCCTACCATTGCTGAGACATCCCAGTTGATACCATATGGCACAGAAGAATTGCCCATATGAGTCCTGCTCAAATTCTTCACCCAGAAACTCTTAAAATAGAATAAAATGATTGTTTTTTAAGCTGCTAAGTTATAAAATAGTTTGTCAT